CATTCATTTTATGAGATAATAAAATGGTTGAATACTGCAAAGAAAACGACCAGAAAAGAGCAAGGGGCGCTCATATTTCATAGAAAATGCAAACGACAAAGGAAAATAAGGGAAAACGAAGCAACAGAGCAAAAAAACATTAAACGGGGCAATAAGGATAATTCACTAGCATCGGAAAAGAGAAACAGAGAAGACTGAAAAAAGGCCTAACTTGCTTCTGAAATTGTTCTTCCATTGTTAATCGATCGGGGACAACCTCATTAGGGATGGTTGGTCTAGTATCGTATGTAGCCATGGTGTATGGTGATAAATTTAGGAGAAAGAAATAGGCTGGCATAAATTAGGGATGGTGTGAACTTGTGGGTGAGGTGAATTAGCCGGGATGTAGGGCTTTACCTGGTACAACACCAGTTGGATGATAAAGAGTGAATTAGAAGCGGAAGGTAAATTAAAGACGGAGATGAACGGTGCTATTAGACAGAAATAAAAAGGAAACAAACGGCTATAAGCCACAAAGTTGAAAGGTGCAAAGATCTAAACATGTTGTACATGTAAACAAAGATTATAATACCACCAAAGATCTATACCCATGATACCCTAACTCTCATTCATGCTTATTAGTTTCTAGAGATAAGATGTGACCAAGATTTTGAAGTGCATTTTGAGTTCCTGGAGTTGGAGTGGAAAAAATTACTTATAGGGTTCATTAAACATACACACTGTAGACTTGACCAACTGATGTTTATCTTATTTAACCTGAACATCAAATTAGCTTCTCAATATCTTTATCAGACAACAAAAAATATCTTTTCATATCCATAAATGAAATATTTGATTAGTTCACATTTTCTTTTGCTTTCTAATAAATCTTGAGCATACCTTTATGAAATACGTAACAAGGACATAATATATTACGGAGTACATAATAACCACGTAATACTAACGTACAAATTATTATGGTAAAATACTTTTGAGATAATAGCTTTAAATAATAACAACTACTACCTCCATCACACTAACTATCATGCCCTAGACCGCATATAAGCGCATGTACAACCACCGTATGACCAAGTGACGTCACTCGCAACTCAAAAGTCAACCTCACTTAATCATACAAGGCGTCCAAGAACTTAGTTCATATCATACTCAGTAAGTAAACATACATAATAACATTACATTTAAACCAATGAATAGCGAAAATATTCGACTGTAAGTCATGAGCCACATCCGGCAAAAACATGGGCTCGCAGGCCCATAATAGTTTGTTAGAGATATTTTGTGGTGTTAAATCATGCTTTAACTAGTTGCATTTGTGTTTCATTTTGTCTAATTAATAGGATGGGCCAACTCAATGTTAGAGACCCATTTGTCATTATGCAAGCCCATTTGTAAAAGGACTCAACCTACAGAGCTATAAACAGTCTGGAGCTTCAGCCATCCATATCATGTACTGAAGCTCAAAATCATTTTGATATTGAATTGGTGCCTTATCTCTTCTCTATTCTATTCTATATTCAGATTGATTGTTGGAAACCGGGACAACACTTTTGTCCTTGTGTACTGTAATGGCTGGAAGCCACAAGTGTAAGTCTGGTAGCCAGCATGTGTGAGTGAATTACGTGATATCAACCCTGGGATAGCTATCTTATGATAATGTAGTCCTGAATAATGTCGGATCCCACTGCTGAAATGTCTAAGTCCACCATCCCTATCTGAGGTCCTGAGCTCGGCGTGGGTGTAACCTACCTTTGGTACAAGTCATAATGTTGGAGGAGGGAAACCTCGGCTCATTATAGGAAGCAAGATTGTCCTTGTTGATCTTGAACTCATAATGGTGGAATTGGCCTGGAGCTCGACCATAGTATTTGAAACACATCAACCTCGGCAAGGTTCGGCCTCAGCAAGTTCGACCTCGACCGGAGTTGCCTTAGTGAGTTTTGGGGATCGTTCAACATAAATGTTGATACCCCTGTGTATATGACAATATACTCCATCAACATGAAATGCGGCTGCATAAAGGAAACACATAAATTTTAATGTTGCACATAAACTACATTCCATGGTGCCTCCATAGATGATTGATGAGATCGGTTATAAGAGATGTGTGCACCGAGGAGTCCCAAATTCAATTGTGGCATTGCTAAACATATTTCTATTAGGACAAGACCAAGAGCCCGTTTGGTAATACGAAAATCGGTTGAATAAGCTGATGATTCTGGTGAAATTTATGAAATTCTAGCTGAAATGAGTGGATTAGTTGTTTCTGCTGATTTAAGAAAAAAAAATATTCAATATATTTCTTAATAATAAAACAAAGAAAAAATTATATGTAAAAAAGGCTAAAATGATCATCTACTGTACTTCAACCAATACAGCCAGAAAAGTAACTTCAACCTTACTATTTCTTTTTATTACACAATCTAGAGCGTAAAATTCAAAAATTATAGGTTTGGTAAAAAAGTTGGCCGATAAGCCGAAAAACAGGGATATCAAACGGCCTCTAACTCATATCCATATAATATCAATTTTTAATAAAGTTAGTGAAATAATCATTGTGTTTCAATCGTTTTTGTCTTTAACTTGGTGAAATATTTCATCTTCATTCTAGCAGTATTTTTGTAAATACTTTTAACTTCAACCTAATTTCCTAAATATTTTATTATTTTAGCCTTAATTTGGAAAATAACTCTACAAATTGACGTTTGATCATAAACTGATGAAAATAGAGAGAAATTCCAACACAAGCCCATATAAACGAACGTAGTAGATACTAGGGGGGATTTGACTTTGCACCCCACTTTTTTGATGAAATTTGACTTTGCACCCCATTTTTAAAAAAAATTGATTTTGCACCCCATTCCACATAAAATTCCTTTAACTTTGCACCTCATTTAGAAATTTTCTTCACAAAATGGTATGTGTTGGGGTGCAAAGTCAAAGTTTTTTTAAATGGGGTGTGAAGTCCAATATCACCCAAAAAGTGGGGTGCAAAGTCAAATTCCCCCTAGATACTATTACAATATTTGAGGTGTAACTTTAGGGGCCGTTTGGTAACGGCTGCAACAGCTGAATTGGCTGAATTGGCTGAATTTCTGGAGTGAAAGTGTTTGGTAATATTTTGGCTGAAATGGCTAATTGAATGTAAAATTACCATAAAGGATATCAGTTTTTTTTCAAAGGAAGATTAGATCTGGCTACATTTTCAAACGAGTGGGCAATCGTTTTGCGTCTGTATAGTTCTTCCTAATATAATATACGAAAGAGTAAGAAGACATGGGGTCTTGTAAGAAGAAGAGAGAGCAATCGGGCAAGAAACCTTCAATCGGAAAGGAGAGGTTCTGCTATGTCGTAGACTTCGTGTTTGGAGCAATCAAGGATGCATTACAAGCATTTTCCAGCAGCAACAAAAGGAGGATACGATCGTCGTTTTGCAAGTAAACAGTGAAATAATCCATTTCAGCTGAAAAAGTAGCTTTGGAGTTGTTTTTTGTACTGATAATAATTATCAGCCAAAACAGCCCATGAAGTGGGTGTTTGGCTTTTTTCCCTAGTTTTAGGCTTATCAGCCTATTTTATGTCCTCCAAACGGCCTCTTAATACCATTTGGAGGGCTGGGATATTAGGAGTCCAAAATGTTAAATGCGGAGCTTTTGGACTCCTAATTGTGCGTAGTGGAATTTAAAAGGGTATTAAAAGTGGGAAAGGGGATGAAGTGAGTTAAATGTAGCGGGTGGTTTAGAAGAGCGGGAAAAAGAAAAGGGACGGTCACATGTTTTCTTTTGGTGCAGATGACATCATGTTGGTGTCATGCTTGCATCACTATATCCCAAATTTTTTTAAACTTATACTTCGTATAACATTTTTATTTGTCCTCCAAATTTTTCAAAAAATATACTCCGTATCAAAATTTGTAAATTTTTATGATCTTTCATATGACATCAGTATGTAATACTATATATATATATATAATGAATTTTTTTTAAGTTTTAACCTTTGAAGTTCTTTTGAGCCCGAAAAAACACGAAACTCAAATTTTTAATTCACATAGTCTTCACAAATAGCTTAATATTAGAAATTTACTTGAACTAAGTTCAGTTTTTGTTATCCTGAAAACGTAAAAAAAATAATGAAATTTATTTATTTTTATATCAAAATGTGTATTTTTTTCATAATTATTCAGGGAAAAAATAAAAAGGAAAACATTATTTATAATAATTTAATAAATATTTTACTAAATTGGTATGTAAAAAAAATTGCTGAATGTATTTTATTGACGATACTGGAATCCAAGAAAAAAAAAGTTTAAACACCACTTTTCATATGGACGGAATCCATTTTTTACTTTTAACCTCTCCACCACTCCAAAGAATCTAATAAGCCTGCTATTCTTTGCCAAACGAAAGATTAATAACCCCCCACTATTCTACTTTGGCAACTTCACCCCCACACAGCCAAAAGAGACAAAAGGAACAACTGAAAACAAGTAACGAAGTGCAAGATAGAAGCAAATGTGATGAATCGAAACATGTATGGGGCAGAGTATGATGAGTGACTTCATCTCAGTGAGAAATGAAGTTGGCAATTTGGGTTATGAGAAAAGAAGCTTTGGTGGAATGTATTAGCTAACATTGATAATCGATTGCCAACCATATCCAAAAAATTAGTCATCCTTAAGTATTTCATGTGAGATTAATCACACATGTAAAATAACATTGATATAACATTTTTGTAATTATCTATTTCTTATACTATTTTAATTGATTCTAAGAGTTCATTTAATGTTTTGATAATGACATTTTGTTGGAGGGAAGATAACCCATTTAATTTCCAACTGTAATATATCTTTATATATATAAAGATAGAGATAAAAGCGTAAAGATAAAGATAATTTGAAGTAGTCAAAGTTTTTGGTAGCACACAATGCAACATTGAGGATAATTTTACTTGAACTCAAATTTGCTAGTCTGATCTGATCTGATCTAAACTGATCTAATAAATGTCTGATTTCTGTGTATTTTATAAATATGAATATCTGGTTTGACCTATTTAAGTCTTGGACAAAAATATTCCCAAGTAAAAACATCCTAATAATACCATTGTTCTCTTGTGACTTCACCCCACATGACCAAAATGAAAGACCAACTGAACACTAATAAACAAGAGCAAATTATTGGCACAAAAGCAAATATAGAAGCAAAACAAAACAGGTAACATTACGGCACAACGACTATGGAATACTATTGTCTATGTGATCCATGGCCTAAATTCTCTCAAATTTATCATCCTCCATAACTTAGCACATCTCAGTGACAAATGAATTTGACAATTTGGGTTATGAGAAAATAAGCTTTAGTGGAATGGATATGGTTGAGATAAAAGCTATGTCCCACCCCCAACACCTCCACCACCTTCAATTCACCTCTCCACCCACTCCCATTCACCACCTTCACATAATCCATCCCCTTCACTTTCAATCCATCCAGCTCCGCAATGGATACGAAGATCCGTGATGCTCGGTACCCGGATAGCGGCTCCGAAAACAGGTTTATCAACGGGTTGTCGATTCCGCCCGGAGCTGCCGGGTAGACGAAGCTCCAGTCCTTGTACCCGAAGCTCTCCTTGTCGCCATCCTTGGATCCCCAGAAAAACGGGTGCGTCAGGATTCCGCCGAAGATCTTCGTGTCTTTTCCGGGTAGTTGTTCTTTTCCGGTTTTGACGATCATGTTATGGACTATGTTGGCGCCGGAGCTGTCGCCGCCGAGGAAGATCCGGCTGAAGTCGCCGTGCTGAATCAGCACTGGATCTGGGTTTTCGGGTCGGGTTGAGAAAGGAGCGTGGGATGCGACCCATTTGATGGCCGCCCAGCTATCGTCGTACGCGGCGGGGAGTAGGTGCTCTGGGGCGAGCCGGTAGTCGACGGAGATGGCGACTATTTTGGCCTTGGAGGCTAAGATGTTGAGGAACTGGTGGTCGCCGGAGGCAAAAGCGGATCCCATACAGAACCCGCCGCCGTGGTACCAGATCAGTATCGGGCGCTTCTCGGAGGCGGTTTGAAGCTTTGGGAGATATATCCTGGCCGGGATGTTGCCGGGGATTGTGATGTCCCGGGAATAGACGCCGGTGGCTTGATCGTGAGGTGACGCCGGAAGCTTCCTCTGGTCTAGCGGGCGAATGATTGTGCCGTTTTTGTAGACGTAAATAAGTGGAGGGACGGAGGCGGTCAACTGGCTGTCGTCGTCGCCGGCAGCCACTGGCGTACGGAATGAAAGGGCTGCGAAGCTCAGGAACAAGGCAAGGTTGAACAGAAATGAGGCCATTGGGGGTGTGCCTATGTCTGACAGTTCACAGTACCTTGAATTGAGTGATTATAGGCTTTTGTGGGTTGTGTTGACATTCATTACTTTTCCTTTTTGGACAGTCCCTAAATTAAGTTTACACTTTAATACTTTTTTTATTTGGCAAATAATTTACATCAAAACAGTGTCAAACAGTGCGAAGCAGTGTCAAATAGAGTCCAAACAATGTCAAACAGTGTTTAAACAGTGTAAAACAGTGCACTCCACAGTAAAGTCAAATTTATTTTCTTAATATGTGTGAAGTCAAATCAGAAACTTAATTGGGGTACGGAGGGAGTATGTTTGTTAAAGATTTTGAGCACGTAATCGCATACGTACGAAAAAAAGTCGGTTCATATATTGTTACCACAAATGTTAAAGCTATCACATTTTGTACCTCATTTTCTACTCACCTCCTATGTTTGTGGTTCATAAAAGCACTTCATTAAAATGGATCAATTCATTTAATGTTTTGGACTTTTGTGAGCCACAAACATAGGGTGTGATACAAAATGGGGTACAAAATGAGGTACCTCTAGCGAAGTTCTATTGTTACACCTAAAAACACTGCGAGCTCGTTTGGTAACGCCAAACGCATGTCTCTTTGGTCCAGGAATCATGAGAAGCCAAACATTAATATTATAGCAAGTCAACGGTGGAATGTGGATATCAATGATGATGATGGTTACAAAATTAAGAAAGGAAGAGCTCAGTACAAAATAAGTCTTCAGAATAGATCATGTTCTTGTAGAAGGTGGGATCTCTGTGGAATCCCTTGTGCACATGCCATATGTGCCATGTATGACAAGGGGATGATCCATAATCCTATATGGATCGCTTTTATTCAAAGGAGTTATACCAGAAAACGTACTCCTATACATTGCACCCAATAAATAGGGAGTTATTATGGCCTAAAACCCAACATGAAGAGATTTTACCTCCTTTTCCAAAGAAAATGAGTGGTAGGCCAAAGAAAAAGCGAGTGAGGGAAGAAACTGAATTGAAGCACCTCCACCATATGGGTCACAACTTCCAAGAATAGGCCGAATCATGACATGCTCTATGTGCAAAGGAGAAGGCCACAACAAAAAATCTTATCCAAACATACCTGAGATAGAGAGGGTGGCAACTCCTACCACGTCAAGAGGTGGATCTGCAACAAGTGGAAGAGGAAGACGTCCAAGAGGCAAAGGTCAAAGGGAGAGCGGTAGAGGTAGAACCCAGACAAGGTTTGGTGTTTATTTCAATGAAGCTACTGGTGATACCATTTAGTTGAATCCACGATTGGGTTTTTCTGTTTTACAACTTAATATGTGGCAATGATTGATATTGATTTGTAATATTTTCATAATTGTAGCCTGGCCAGAGAGGAGAGACACTGCTTGGATGAGGAATATACAAAGGGAATTGGTTTTGGAAGATGGATGAAGTGTTTGAAGAAGAAGAAGATGCTGGTATGGTGAAGTAAATATAGTAGTTTAGGTTGGTGGAAGTTATGAACATGTTGTAGTAGTAAATGTGTCGAGAACTAGTACGGATTTTTTCCTATAATGTCTGGATTGATGCGTCTTTAAGTGGGCTTATGTGTGGTACAAACATGGTGTATTTTGTCATGACCTTTGTGGGGTCTTTTATTGCATTATTGTATTTCGACATACATTATCACGACATGGTTATTATATGTTTTGAACCTGCCTCACAAATGGAAATGTATTTGCATCAAGTACATCACACAAAATTTGCATCACATTATGTAATGGAGCATAAATCTTATTCAAATCATTCAACCAATTAGGATGTTTACATGCAGATTGTTCAAATTCAAAAACAGGTTATAGTGTAACATAAATTACATCACACAAAATGAAAAAAATGATTCAATAACAACACTCCATGCCAACTTGTTCAAATTCAAAAGCATTACATAATTCAACTTCAATTACAATGCAACATTCCTATGGTACATAGACTTTTGCTACAAAACACAATGCTACTGCCACAACTATGACGACATACAACTTCCTAAACCTCTTTATGTCCTTCACCTCATGTTCAACTAAGCTTCACACAGTAAACATCATCTTGAACATGGCTTAAGCGTTGGACAAGGCCTTCAACCATGATCTTCACTTCATCCATCTTATCGTTCTTGTGTATAGGCCTGAGCATGTCTTTTCTTCCCAGGTCATCCCTTCATAAAAAGTATCTACAACCATCAACCTGTACACAGTAAAAAATTACAATTTCGTACTTCAACTTCATTTATACATATATAATATATTCATGGAATCATTCAGTGCACACACTAAGAATTACAAACAAACACAAAATGTAATTTAATTTAATCAATTACCACCCATTTTTGACAACCATAAAATTGTCTCCCGCTCTCCTTTCCGACTCATAGCGGGGGCTTTCAATCCACACCAACAATACACTGCAGGCTTGTAATTTGTAGTGTTATTTTGTTCTTTTGTACTCGTTGATGTAGACAACGATACCATTGATTTTCATGAGCGGAGCAAATGGCGAAGAACGAGATACTGTTAGGGCATATGACGATAAGGGTTCAAATGGGGAACATACAGACTCTATTTAGTTGGGAAGGGTTGGGCAGAAGGCTGTTGTGTTTAAAAAATATTGACTTAGCAATATTAGACGGGTAGATGACCTCCACTTAAGCGACCAGGTCAGTGAGAAACGGGCTAATAAGGAGATGACCGGTTAAAAAACTTAATTGAGTGTTTTCAAAGAGTTGACGGGCTCAAATGAGTGTTTCTAAAGTACGAGAGCTTAATTGATTGTTCGCCCATAGTACGAGGGCCAAATTGACAATTTTCTCTTTAAATTTTACATTTAAGTGACTATGAAATTATATTGTAATAACTATTAGTCATATTTTTGTAATAAGTTTCATTTCAGTAATATTTAAAAACAAACTCTTAAAAATATTGTACTATGGAGTAAAATTTTGAATCATATTTGTGTTGCTAATACAAATTTAGACATGAGCTATTTAATACTCCGTGCCACGATTACATTTAAGAAGCAAATTTTAAAATTAATACATGAATTTCCCAAACGAATTGATATTAAATTGATTTTAAAATACTCTCTTATTAAAACTGAAAATGTTATGAAAAAGTAACTTTTTATAAGTCGAGTTTTGTCTATGATTTCTGTAATGGTGTCTTGGTGGCATGTTTAGAAATTAACTAAATATGTGGGAAATAATATTGATTTTGCTCTCTTGTGTAGTATAGCAAGAAATAAACTTGGCCATAAATTTAGATTTTGCTCTCATAAATGATCTAGACAAATTCACCAGGCACATTTTTTTTATAGTTGTAAACTATTTTTTTCTTTTCCCTTTGGTTGGTGTGATAGAATGCTTTCATGTGTAGCATATACCCATAATATTAATAGCTATTTTTTCAAAATTTGGTGTCCCATATAATGAAGGCTCCCTAAAAATATGCCTATGTGCCTTGCCCCTATAGCCGGTTATGCAGGTGTACTGCCTTCCCCCCAAGTAGGACAATTTTTCCGCTCCCAATGCATGCAGTCTATCGCACTCAACCATCCTTGGAAAGCCTCTGTTTGAGTCTTTTTCAAGAAAATAATGCATATCCCTGATGTCAGGTGTTCATAGATACCAAGAATCATACAACCTAATAATTTCCCTACAAAATTTCTTCATGCACAAAAGTGTGGTGATTCTAACTCAAATGACACAACTGATCTAATGAATCATCCGAACAACCATTGATGAGCATAAATATTGCATTAGTGAGTTTTTGTTGAGGAGACATAGATACCTTGTTTAGAGCATATGTCATACTTGCAAATAAGGATCAAAGGCCATGGGATCTTTCATGATTCAATCAAACAAAGACGGTTGCATGCGAGAACGGCGCCACAAGATACGTTTGTTATAGGTAGGGTTTGAATTCTTGTAATCATCATACCAGATGATGTACTGCTTCTCACTCACGGTCTATGTACTCACAGCTATTGGAGTTTGTTCCAGCAAATGAAGCCATCATATCCATGTGCATGCGGTCGGAGACATCATCTTCTTCTTCATCTTCATAAATGGATTTTCGGAATGCACCAAATGAACTCATGATTAACTTTTGACCTTGTTGTAAGAAACTTGAAAATGAAAAAAGTAAAGATAAGTAATGTGAGTCCAATGTTATTATGTTAAGTGAGAGCATGTATTTATAGTACCACACACAGTTCTATGACGCAATATAGTGAGAAGATGATCCAATGTGTTAGAATGTACACACAAAGTGGAGAGGAGTATCCAATGTTTTATAATTCAATACAGAAAGCGGTGAAGAGCATCCAATGTACTATGAATGGACACATCTAGTGAAGAAGAGAAGACAATGTGTTTTGAATAGCCACATCAAGTGGAGATGATAATATAATGCACTATAGATATATGCACCAAGTGAAGAAGAGAATCCGCTCAAATGGTACGAATTTAATAATATTGCTCATAAGATGCTTACACATGATTTAATTGAATGTTTAGAAGAGAATATTTAATGAAATTTATTTTTTATCATCAAAAATGTGTTTTTTAATTTCATAATTACTTAGCGAAAAAAATTAAAGAAAAACATTACTTATAATAGTTTAAAGGAGCAAATATAAGGACTTGGGTGCAGGCTGTTTTTGAGCAGCAGAAGGAGGAGAGCATAGTGACTTTGATTATGACTTTTTGGAGGATTTGGAAAGCAAGGAATAACCTTGTATGGAAAGAGGAGAATTTCTCTTGTAGAGGCATTGTTGCAAGAGGAGCTTCTATGCTCCAAAACTGGATGACAGCGCAGCAGTAGGTACAAGGAGCTCCTAGCAGCGGCAGACAGAGGTCTAATCCTGGGAGAAGAACAGATGCAGGTTGGATAAAAATCAACGTTGATGCAGCAATAGACCAATCTAAAGGAGTTTGAGCTTGGGGGTGGGTCGCGAGGGAAGACTCAGCCCGCTTTATTGCAGCTTGGAAGGAGGCAGTGTGGGCAGATTGGGAACTGAGAGAAGCTGAAGCAGTGGCTGTTTGTGAAGCAATTAAGTGGGCTAGAGAAAGAGGGTGGTCAAAAGTAGAGGTGGAGAAATACGCCACGGTGGTGGTGGCCGGAATTTTGGGGGAGCCGGGGTTCTCTTATTTTTTTGTAGTCTTAGATGATATTAGATTCTTGATAAA